CCATACATGACGAGCAGAAAGCCTTGCTAATCGGGTCCATGATGTGATATAGTCGCTTTCCTGCTGGGCCCGTTTTGTTGTTCTTCTTTAGTGATGTCGCCGCGCTCTGATGCCACCGTACTGGAGTAGCGTTCTTGATTCTGATGGCCACCAGTGCAGCTCGAACTAATTCCTGGAGGCCTTCGGGTTGAGGAAGAGGCCGGAGTGCCCCCAGTCCTTGGCGCTGCTGTTGAGGTGGTTCGTCTTTGTGGCATAGTAGTATCCGGCATAGCTCACTGGGGGCCGCCGTCGGCGGCGCTGCCCCTCGTAGTTTAGCCTTCTTCAACCTCTTGGCGATGCCCTGCATGTCTTGTTCCACTAGCTCCTCCAAGTCGTTGTCCTAATAGTCTATCTCCTCGGCCTCGACTGGGATCTGTTAGACTTCGCCTCGGTTATGTTCTGTTCCTTCCATGCCTCCTGATCCGCCCGGTAGTTGCCAACAATCAACCCCTTCTTGCTTGATGGGATTGGCTGTGGCCATCGCCCAGTAATCGCGCTTCCTCGGTCCGTATCTTCCCCCCGCAATCAGTCTGGAGAGTCGGCCTACTCGGGCAAGGTCTCGGCCTTCCCATGCCTCGTACAGCTCCTCCACTCTGGCGTCCGTCTTCCTCTGGTACTCTAGTTTGCGCCAAGTGGCGCAGGTCGCAGTGATGCGTTTGAGCTCCGTCTCGATATTGCCCGGCCGAAGGCGTCGTGGATCTCGCTCTGCTTCTGGTTCGCTCTCAGACTCGTAAAGATTGTCGCAGGAGGGGCCAATAGTCGTACATTCGTGTTCTTCTCGGGGTACGGGTATGTAGTCTACCTTCGCGATGTCCAGCTTGTTCGGGTCGTTGACCGTGATGAGTAAGTTGCCCCCCTCTCGTCTGAGCTGTTCTCGGATGTCGCGTCTCTTTCTGAGTAGCTCCATCTGTTGGTCTCGTAGTATATGATACTCCTCTGGCTTCTGTTGTTGCTGTCCGTAGTATGTCTGAGCCGAGTCGATGATCATCTGGCTCGCGCCCATGAACAACTGGTCGATGCCCTGCCGTTCGCGTCGTAGTTCTCGACTTTCCGCTCTAGCTCCTGAATAAGCACTTCTGCGTCTAGTCCTTTGCGTGCTGCTTTTGCCAGTTTGTCCTTGTCACAGTTCACTGCTTGTTGTCGGTGCCGCACTCGTTGTCGCAACGGGGTCCGTACTGTGAGTTGAACTGGTACATGATCTCTGTGCTGTCTGCTTCTAATATGTTTCAGCCGCGTTCCCATGCGACGAAGGGGGCCCTAGGATATGATGCTGTTGGCCAGCGACGTGGGCATCATGATATAGTCTGTACAGCTGGCCGCCGTTTCTCCAAAGTAAATTGGTCTCCAAGCGCCCATGGTTTCGTAACTGTTAGTCTGTGGCGTTCCGCATACTGCCGTGCTTTGTGTCCCGCACCGCCTGGTAGCTTCTCCTTTGCCCTGCCTGTCCCAAGCGAGGCGCTCTCTGGGTGTTCGCTCTTGCAGGCGATGCCGATGCCGTCATTGAGGTCGCCCGCTGTGAAGAGGAGGCTACCTTGGGGGCGCTTTGTTGCTACTTCGCCCATCCATTTGAATAATCTCGCCACCGTCGCGAAGTGCTGCTTGCGGTCTGCTGTCTTCTTTGGTTGCGGCGGGCAGTAGTAGCTCACGAGTGTGATCTGAGTGTCGTGCTGTTGTAGTTGAAGGGCCAGTCCACGTCCGCATAGCTCCGCTGGGGGCTCCATTACGTTACGCTGACCACCTGCGCCCCTCGTAGTTTGCCCTGGATCGCGATCAGCATGCCCGTGCTGCGGTTGGTGGGTGCTCCCGTTCGCCATCCTGCGTCGACGACTCGAGTTCCCTCTGTCTTGTGAGGTTCGCGTCTCCATCTTTGTGTGCCCGCCAGTACGATCACGTCGAAGTTGGTGGCTTCCTCGATGCTTGCCTGCTGCCTGTCGGGCTTCGCGGAGAGAGGGTTGAACAGCGGCAGCGCCAGCGACGCTGTCCATGCCGTTGCCGCCATGCGGGCCTCTTCCCAGTCAGTTATGCCTCCACATGCTGTGGAATGGCGGTGTTTGTTCGCTTGCTGCCCTGACCATCTCTTAGGCCCAGATGGCAGCTGGAGGAGGAGGAGGAGGAGGAGGAGGAGGAGGAGGAGGATGAAGTGAAGTGGGAAATCATGGACGGCGGGCGAGCCGAACGATCATGAGGACGAGGAGGACGAAGCAGAACAGCCATTGTCTTCAATCGCTGATCGACTTCATGCCCGTCCTGACTCCCCCTCCTCCACGTTCTCCTTCTGACGCTCCCTCCAACTCCGCCTCGCCCCGCTTGCCTCCTCGCCGCGCGTCCTCATTCTCCTCCTCCTCGTCCCGCTCATCGTCCGAACCACTCCTCCTCCTCCTCCTCCTCCTCCTCCTCCTCCTCCTCCCCTCCCTCCTCTCCTCCTCCTCCTCGTCTCCTCCTCCTCCTCCTCCTCCTCCTCCTCCTCCTCCTCCTCCTTTGCTCTCCCCATCCTACGGTTCCCTGTTCCGACCCAGTTCTCTCCTAAATTTCGTTTCGTCGTTGTTATCAATCCTACTCCTCGTCGTTTTGTCGTCGTCGCTCGTCTCCGAACTCCTAGTCGCTGCGGTTTCCCACCATGAGCACAGCCAACAGCGTTCGTTCTGACCAAAAATAGATACGAATAGATATGGCGCGGCAGTGCCATTCTTCGAAAAAAAGAAGCGAATCGATATATATATATATGCATGTATCTGTATATATATATATATGTATATATGTATATATATACACGTGTATATATATATATACATATATATTATTGAAGCAAAACAAATACGGTGCTAATTATATATGCACATGTAAATGTATATATATATATATATATATATATATATATTATTGAAGAATATGTACGTTTAGATATGGCGGCGCTCCCGCGCAGGCCGGAGGCGCGCACCTAATAATGATATGTATATTGTCGTCGTTGCAGAAAACAAATACGATGGGCTTCTCGCCTGCACCTGGGCGCGATCGCATCTAAACGCATCTATTAGTTTTAGATACGTCTTGCAAGGCTGCTGGACCCCCCCCCTCCCCTCCTTCCCCCGGCCCCTCCCCCCCCCCCCCCCCCCCTCTCCGGAAAACCGGGGGGATCACTGCCGGATCGAACCCCCCCCTCCAAAAAAACGGGGGGGGGTCACTACCGGTTCGAACCTCCCCCCTGCGGAAAATTGGGGGGGTCACTACCAGTTCGAACCCCCCCCCACCTCCCCTCACCGCCGGCAAACGATTCCTGGGTCCCCACCACCGTCCGCACCACTTCCCCCACCGCTGTCCCCAGCACCACCATCCCCATCACCACTGTCCCCACTTTCCCACCACCATCCCCAATCCGCACCAGTGCCCCCACCACTGTCGCACTGTCCCCACTGTCCCCACCACTGTTCCCACCAGACTCTCCCCACTTTCCCCACGGTACCCACCACTGTCCCACTGTCCCCACTGTCCCACTGTCCCCGCCGCTGTCCCACTGTTCCCACCACTGTCCCCCACTGTCCCCACCACTGTCCCCACGGCACCCGTGTTTCATTGTCCCACCACCGTCCTCACCACCGCCGTCACCACTGTCCCCACCACCACCGTCCCCACCACTGTCCCACTGTCATCACTGTCCCAACCACTGTCCCACTGTCCCCACACCATTGTCCCCACCACCACCGACCCCACCACTGTCCCATTGTCCCCACCACTGTCCCAGTGTCCGCACGGTTCCCACCATTGTCCCCGCTGTCCCCACCAGTGCCCCCACCACTGTCGCACTGTCCCCACTGTCCCCACCATTGTCCCACCACGGTCCCACTCCCCATTGTCCCTGCTGTCCCCACAACTGTCCCACTGTCCCCTTTGTTCCCACCACTGTCCCACGGTCCCCACTGTCCCAGCCGCTGTCCCACTGTGCTGTCCCACTATTCCCATTGTCTCCGCTGTCCCCACCACTATCCCACTGTCCCCACCACTCTCCCCACTGTACCACTGTCCCACCACCGTCCTCACCACCGCCTTCACCACTGTCCCCACCACTACCGTCCCCACCACTGTCCCACTGACCCCACTGTCCTCACCACTGTCCCGCTGTCCCCTCACAACTATCCCCACCACCACCGACCCCACCACTGTCCCACTGTCCCCACACCACTGTCCCCACCACCACCGCCCTCACCACTGTCCCAGTGTCCCACTGTCCCGAGGAGCGGGAATCGTTTGCAGGCGGCGAGGGGGGGGAGGGGGGGGTCGAGCCCGTAGTGACCCCCCCCGTTGGGATCCCGACCCCTCCCGCACCTACCTACAGACCAACCGACCGACAAAGGGCAGAGGAACGAGGAGACAGACGACGACGACGACGACGAAGCAGACGACAGAGCAGACGACGACGATGGCAACGACGACGACGACGACGACGACGACGACGGCGACGACGGCGACGACGCCGACGCCGACGCCGACGCCGACGCCGACGCCGACGCCGACGCAGCCGCCGCCACCGCCGACGACGCCGCCGCCGATGACGACGACGACGCGCCGACGCCGACGCCGACGCCGACGCCGACGCCGACGACAACGACGACAACGACGAGGAGGGGGGCAGGAGGAGGAGGAGAAAGACGAGGACGAGGACGACCACGAGGGAGGGGAAGGGAGGGGAGGATTGAGGAGGAGGGAAAAGGACAAGGCGGATTACGGCAGGACGGAGGAAACGGGAGGACCTCCTCCTCCTCCTCCCCCTCCTCCTTCTCCCACTCTTCCTCTTCCTCCTCCTCCTCCTCCTCCTCCTCCCCTCCTCCTCCTCCTCCTCGTCCCTCCTCCTCTTCCTCCTCCTCCCCCTCCTCCTCCTCCTCTTCCTCCTCCTCCTCCTCCTCCTCCTCCTCCTCCTCATCCCCCTCCTCCTCCATCTCCTCCTCCCTCGAGGGGGGGGGGGAGACCTGGGCGTGGCCCTCGCGCGCCGCGATCATCAGCGCCGTGTCTCCGCGCTCGTCTACCAGGTCCAGCTGTGGCTGCCTGCAGGACGTGCCCAGGCAATGGCCCACCACCTGCCGCGGAGGCGGCGCCGACCCCCCGGCGGGCCCAGCCCTCGCGCGTCGTGCACGGTTCGAATAGGATATCGACTGCATAATTGATGTAGCCTCAACCGGTTTTTCGTCGAGCCCACGAAGCATGCAGACAAGCGGCACGCGTGCCATGGCTCTTGCACATAAGGTAGGAGGGAGGAAGAGGAGGTGGAGGAGGAGGGGGAAAAGGAGGAGGAGGGAGGGGAGATGGAGGACGAGAAAAAGGAGGCGGAGGAGGACGAGGGGGAAGACAATGAGAGGTTAAAAACGGGGAAGCGAATGACGACTGAGAACGATGAGGACACGGGAGGATGAGGACGAGAAGAGAGAGATATAAAGAGAGAAAAAGAGAGAGAGAGAGAGAGAGAGAGAGAGAGAGAATGCGGGAACAAGGAACGAGGCCTGGCGCAGCCGTCCGTTGAAACGAAATGTTGGCGGGACAAAGATAATGCGGGAGGGAGGAGGGAGAGGAGGGCGAAGAAGAAAGGGGAGCGACGGGAGCAGGAAACGGAGTCAGTGGACGAAAAGGGAAAACAAAGGAAGGAACCAACACTCACATATGCGAAGATGCCGAGCAGGGGTCTGCAGCGAGGAGGAGCTGGGCTGGCCGTGGGGGGGAATGGGGCGCGGCGCCTGTGCTGTGCCGGAATGGAAGCTCGGGGCGCAGGAAGCGCGCTGGCTGGCGGGCGGGGAGGAGCTGGGCTGGCCGTGGGGGAAGGCAAGGGCGCGGCGCCACTGCTGTGCCGAAATACAACGGTCGGGGCGGAGGAGGCGCGCTGGTTGGCGGGGAAGGGTTTGCTTAGCTGGGGGGGCGGGGAAGGGAAAACGCGGCGCCGCTGGCGTGGCGACATGAAAAGGGTCGGCGCGGAGGGGCGCGCTGGCTGGCGGACAAGGAGGACGTGGGCTGGCCGTGGGGGCGCGGCGCCAGTGCCGCGCCGAAATACGAAATAAAAGGGTCGGGCGGAGGGGCGCGCGTTGGCTGGTGGGCGAGGAAGGAGCTGGGCTGGCCGTGGAGGGGCCAAGTGGCGCGGTGATCGTGCCGTGCTGAAATATAACGGCGGGGGCTTGGGGGCGCAGGGGGGCGCGGGCTGGCGAGGAGGACGTAGGCCGTTTGCTGATGGGAGGAAGAGGAGGAGGAGGAGGGGGGAGGAGGAGGAAGAGGAGGACGAGGAAGAGGAGGCGGAGGAGGAGGGGAGGTCGGCCACTACCCAACACTCCTCAGGATGCCTGGCCCGAGCCGCAGGCTTTTGAGCAATGTGCTCCAAGACTTCAGGTGCCAGTGGCACTGGGGCGGGAGGGAGGGGAGGATCTGTTGTCCTCTGCGAGTCACCCAGAAAAGCACGTGCATCGACATGCTCCTGCTCCTCATCAGCCTCAGGTGGGCCCATGGGTCTAGCCTCCGCCATGTCGTCGCGAACCTGCGAGGTGTGGGTAACCTGCTCTGGTGTCGGGGGAATGCGTAGCGGCCGAAAGCGATCGAGCTCGGGGTCGTGTCGGACACGGCGTGCGCGCCGAGAGACAAAGTCAGGGGCCCATCCCTCGTCTGTGCCAGAACAGGGATCCCGGGAGACAAGGAAGCGTAGTAGTCCATCACGTATTCTACCCTCCCCCCCCATGTCATCCGGAACAACGGGCTCAATGCTGTCCACATCCCCTTTCCCACATGGTACGCACTGCATCAGCGGTGGCAGCTGCGATGCGCTTGCACAGGCCGGCGGGATACGTCTTCTTTTTGGCCGTGCGCCACTCCCTCCTGTCCCTATCAGCCCCAAGAAGCGTTTCATGTCCGTCCCTACCGTGCGAACATCTGCCGTTTCCAGGGGTCGCAAGCAGGCGGCGCGCAGCCCTGGCAGTCTAAGTGCAACGGTCCTAGTGGGGGCCCTTGACGTCTGACCATGTTCACACTGATCAAAATCGGTCGTCGAGACTGCTGGGGACGACTGGGGAGCACGCGTCGGACGGCAGGTGAACGAGCTGACGGCTTCGAGCCTCCAGCCGCACGGCTGGGGGTGCTCAAGCCAGCATGACGTCCCTGCCTGCATATGCGCAGCAAAAGCTCCACCATAACATTGTATAGCACACTGCGCATTCACAATTGTTCCATCTGACGCTCAGTAACTGCCGTCTTACCCCACATTTAGCTATGCGTCCGAAGTGGCGGGGGGCCCTTCTGCCCATCGAGAGGCAGACCAGGTCTCACACGGCGGCCCGCCACCCGCCACCACCACCCGTCGTGCCAGGATGTGAGACCTCCATTATGCGAGTGTGTCCCGATTCATGAGATCGCCGTCCACTGCATGTATGGCTATATCCACAGACAAGACATATACAACATAGTCTGTGCTGCAATGCGCCCATTCAACCGGCGCCTGTAATTGCATCCCCCGCCCTCCTCCGTCCACAAAACAAGTTTAGAACAAAGTATTCGACTCGTCTGACGGCTCTCGGCATGGGCTCTGCTGCAATGCCAGTGTACCGCTCTGTCAGGAAAAGTCGACTGGGGTATCCCTCAGCGGTGTACTGGACAGGGTTGGCCAGTGGCGGCGGCACGACATCGGCACTCACAGGCGCAGGAGCTCGCAGGCAAGCAGCAAGCCCAGCTGGGAGAGCAGGGCCGGCGGCTGCAATCTCCACGCGCGCAGTTCCATGGCCCATCGTAGCCATCACTGAATACGCATGCTCTGTGATGGGGTCAGCTGCGCGAACTGTCGGCACAACAACATGACGGCGAGACAACGGCGCACCTGGAATCCTGCCTGTCATGGGGGCTGAGAAATCGGGATGTGTGATATGATAACCAGCGCAAATCCTGAAATAGTCACACCTGGTACAGCAACTGCCGTGGTAGGATCGCTCATCAGTATAAGTAAACACCGCGGGGAATCATGTGCTAGGTGGTCTACTAGGTGTGCCCGAGCACGAGATACAAATAGGCACGCATGACAATGTCCATCTGGCGACGCCCATGCACGTGCCAAAGCTGCGCCCTGACGGCGCGCACGCGCCACATGCGCACGCAATGCTCCATGCTTTCGGAAAGCACGCGCACACCATGGACACTTGACACGGTCATCGTCTGTGTCGCCTGCTGCACTAGGTGGGTCTACAAGTAGACCGTTGACACCCGCCCAAGCACGTCCTGGCACTCCCAGGAGACGGACTTCATGAAACAATTGGCCTCCACTGTGGCCGCCTCAACATTTCGAGCAGGAGATTGGGCTGTAGCGTGTAACGTCATGTTGATAATGCGTTTCCAGTATGTTTGATTTCGTCGGATGAGGGACTCCCATCCACTGAAATCCTCAAGCGGTGGCGGGAGGGAAGCACAAGCTACAGCAGTAGCACGTAGCCACGAGCAATCATCCATGACCATTCCCAGCCATGACCTGGCGCGGCAACCTTCTGAGTAGTGTCATACCACTCGGCCCGTAGGAAGGCAAATGCAAGTTTGGGTCCTGTGTGCAATAGAGCACCCAACAGTAGCAAAAGTGCAGCTCTGCTTAGAGCACCAGACTGTCGTCGGATCGGCGAGAGCCTTGGTGGAAGAAGCTCTAGTGCGCAACGTCCGTAAAGTAGCTGTGATAGTGCTGGCTCGATATCGGACCTCGGGCCCCATGTTACCTTGGGAATCAATAGCTGCACCAAGATGTACATAGTGCTTGACAATTTTTGCCCGCGCGGTCCCAAGTAGCTGTGTCTGCGCAACCACATGCCCGCCATGCTCGTGCCATGCGTGCTGATTCGCCTTCTTCGCTCCTTTTCCTCGGTAAGCCAAGAGGGCGGCCGTTCTTGCAACGCCGAGGTTGGGTAGGTGGCCTCTGCTAGCAAACACATCAGCAACCACGGTAAGCGCACGGCACATGGCAGGGTATAGGTTGGAGGCAGGGACAATCACAATGATGGCACCGTCATCCGCAAAGGTAACGTCCAACAGCAGCACAGTGGTAGCAGTGTCGGCATCCGTGACTATACCCTGCACGCTAGTGCGCTCGTCTGTAGGCAAATGCAGGGCCAGTCCTTCATCGTCCAATTGAGCCCGCGCAGCGTGCATGCATTCACCCATAAGCATCTCGTACAATGTATCAGCGAGAAGTTGCCCAGGGAAAACCGAACGTGTCGAGGAAATCTGGTCGGAAACCTCGCACAGGAACCACGGGGTATGGTAGCATTGTGAAATCTGAGCTGCTGCGTGCGCGTGTAGTGCACCGTTCACCACTTGCTGTGCAACAGTAGGAGTCTGCACACGCATACGCCTTGCGAGCTCATGCATGGCACTCGCCGGTAGTCCTGCTGCCCTGACAATGCAAGCAACGGCATCATCGTCAAGCGGCGAACGAAGTAGCAGCTGCCGCAAGGTACGGTAAAATGGCTGCACCACATCCAGGAATAGCACGCCAAAATACAGAGCACGGGCAGCCGCAACAGGTTGCGCAAGACGAATAATGACTGACGCATGGCCAGTTCCTCGACCTGGTTGGTTTTCCCCCAAACTGAGTATCCCCTGCTGCGGCAAGCAGTGCTGGCATCAACCGAGTCCGCAAGCATCTTCGTGATGCCTTGCCAAGCTGTGAGGACACCAGTATAGAGCTGTGATGGACTTCAGCAAATCGCAATAGAAACCTCCCTTCCATTGAATAGGCTCAATTAGGGTGACGGCGGTCTTGCGTTGCAACGGGAAGTACAGGGCAGCGAGCTCAGTAGCGAAAGCGTGCACCAGAGCTCCCGTGAAACCGTCAAGGCCAGGGACAGCGCGCTTGGTCTGGTGGCAAGCACGCTGAAACACAGACAGGGTCGGCAGTGTAAGACTAAGCACCGGATCGGAGGACATCCGATCGTACGGCACCCGTGTGAAGTGAGTGACCCGCAAGCCTAGTCACGTCTGCAAGCTCAAAGGTAGCTGCCAACTCTAGCGCGCCAAAGTGCTGCTGCCAGCGACGGGCTGATTGAAGCTGCGAAGTTACCGGCTGAGCATGCATATCCTT